AACTATTTCTCTTCCTGGTATTATTTAGATTGAGTGAAAATCGCCTGTGGCTTTATGTGTTATCGACGATGAAGAACACTCACTTTTCTTGGGCTAAGTCCAAATAACACAAACAAATTGTGCACTGCGTTAGCTGTAAACTATAAAAGGTATGACTTATTCATTGGAAATGTCTTAACTAAACCGCACGCCTCCAATACTCGGATGACTGACTGACTGCGACTGCGATGGTGACTGTAACGATCGACTGTGGGTGGGTTGGACTCATTCGGAGCTGCGCCAATATTTACAGTTCCACATTGATGGACATGTACAACAATTTGTTTGCCTATTTTGTTGAAATTCTTTTTATTTCTAATTCTTTTTGGAGCTATTTTTATAACTGGCTTACGAATTTGTAATTTGTTTAATGATTCACTTAGAGACTGAACTGACGCATTTCTTTATGAACTGTGGGAATTTAGGGCCCGCTTACTGAAAAGTATTTCTCTTTTTTACCACACACACAGTCCCCATGTATGACAGAGGTATTTGTATTGACTTGTTGACCAACCTCGTTAGGCTAGACATACATATGCATATATATATAAAAATCCTGATAAGATTATGGACAAGGGCAATGCCTCGAAATAACTTTGTTCAAACTTGAAAGCGCAAGCCGTGAAGTGCGGGCTCTATTAATTACCCATTATATTAACATACGATAAAGAAAATATTCCTTTTAAGTGTTTAATTAGATAATCTTTAATCTCAAAGAGTATTTGGACAGCGCGTGAACGTTTTAGCTCCATGTTGTCGGGCTATCCCAATCAAATGTTAATTACTTTCAATTTGCTAAAAACACAAAAAGTGTCAGTTCTACAACATTTTAACAAAACAAAAACTTTGATTCTATAAACATATATGTGACGTCACAGGGCACTAGGTAAACAAACAGTTTATTTTTATCTTCAATCGTAGATTGAATACTCTTGCAGCCATAATTAAAACAAAACTGAAACTAAATAATGAAATTTCTATTTTTAACAAAAGAATTATATGATAATAATATAATCAGTTGATTGAACTGATGAGTTATTCGCCGCGAATCAAAACAAATATCAGAATTATATTCAATTAACGAGGCAATTAATACACATTTATTGCAGTAGAAAATTTGTCTAGACAAAAGTAAAAATTCTCGCGAATTATGCGCACGGCAACAGAATTGAATAAAATGAAATACTATTTTTGATCATCTTTCAGCTGTGAGATGAAGATGAATTTGAATATAAATTATAGCAAGAAAGCTGCGAGTAAAAGTTGATCAAACGGTTAAACGATTTTTGAAAACTTGCGGACAAATATGACTGCGTTTTGAGCACATTTAAAATATATTCTTTATAACGATAAATACAACTTTTATGACTGTCTCAAATCGTCATTTACATTTATGTTTGTGTTTTGGCAAATTTCCCAAACTTGGCTTTCTTATGTATTAGCAAAAAGCTATCTTAAATCATATATATTTTTTATGTTGAACTATATATGAATATTTTGGTCATGTACTAAAAACTTTTAGCATATATTGAAAACTGATGACTCAGATATTATTGTTGTTGTTGTTGTCACATTACCTACTTTCAATATTTTGTGTTGACGCGCGCTGAATGTGTTTTTAGCCCACTAAAGTAGACAGAGCAACAGCACCAGCAGCAGCCACAGCCACAGCCACAGCCGCAGACGCAGCAGCAGCAGCAGCCGATTGACAACTGTAAAACATGGCCAAGTATGTACGAATACACACACAAATACATTTACGTATACGGCATGCAAATGACGTAAGCGCACGGTAGCTAAACGCCGCATAAATAGCCAAAACACAGGAGGAGGCCAAATCGGAAAAAAGAATAGAAAAAAAATAGAGAAACAAAACACACACAAGCACTTGAACTCGCATTGGGCGAACAATTTACAATCAGCTAACAAGGGACACATGATTTATTAGCGGCAAACATTTGCGAAATTACAAAGCTAAAAGCAAAGGCGCACCCACACACGCATATGCGGCATAAAAGAGAGGGAGAGAGACAGAAAGAGAGCCAAGGAGAGCAAGCCAAAGCAAGCAAATACAGTGAATAATCGAAAAGTTGAAATTCCCAATTTTTGAATCATTACAATATAAATAAAAATTTTAATATAAAATTCTTAAAATTATTAATCATAATTTTGTACTAAAATGTACATAGTAAAAACATGTTTCCATTTTACAACATGCCAATTTAGGAGCAACCACTCTATAACGTAATGTGAGCGCGCTACGTAGCGCCAGTCATCAATCAATATTGTCTTCCGGCTGAGCTTTCAATTGATCAACGATCAATGCAAAACGTAAGCTCGACGTAAACGGGCAAGGTCGTTTCATTCCACGTTTCATTCACAAAATCCAATTAGGTTCCGGTTTGAAATGCGAGAGCATAAAGCAACAAGAAAGAGCGAGATGGTGAGTGACCGTGAGAGGAAGAGAGCAAGAACGGGTTCAATGCAAATTGTTTATTAATAGTTTGCTCATTCAGTTTTTCTCTTTTTTTTTGCGTTCTATCGCCTCTATTGTTGCACGTGCTTACACCCGCAACAATAACAACTACAACATAAAGTTGCCGCCGACACGTCGCTGCCGACGCTGACGCTGACGGCGCTGCTTTGCTTCTCGAGTTTTATTTTAAATTCTTTTTGTTTTTTCATTTTTCTTGTGTTATTTTTGTTCTTCGCTTTGCTGCTACTTTGTGGAGCTTGTAAAGGGAAATAATTTCAATTTTTATTGTAGCTGCATTTTCGAGTAGAAATTCGAAAATGTTTGCAAGCATTTCTGTTTGGATTTTTGGAGTTAATTTTGGTATTTTATTATTATTAGCTGTGCGCCTTGCCCAATACTGAAGAAAACTACATCTAAACAGTAAATCGGACAGGAAATGCGCGCGTCGGTAATATAATTAAGCCAACTTGTAGGTCAAAACGTGGCTGGCAGGCGAAGCGGCAGCTATTTGGTGTTGCAATAACGGTAAGTGCATACACAGACACATAATCATTCAAAAGCTCACGTCTCTCGGCGACAGCGGATGAGTGAGTAATTGAGAAAGCGCAGACTGCGAGGGAGCGGAAGAGGGAGAGGAGCACAGAGTGAGATCGGTGACAAATTACAAATGGCCGACAAATTAGTTGCAGCTTTAAATGACAACTTCCGTATAATCAGCGAAAGAACCAGAAAAGCATTAGACAAATTTGCACATTTAATCAAAGACAATTGAATAATTGCGTGCATAAAATAACTGGAGTACAGACAGAGCCCAACAAGTGCTACACTTCGAAATACCCTGTAACAACTATTAAGATAATCTAATAAAATTGATATAAAATTATATTGCAACCACAAAAATGTTACTAATTGCCTAGAGGGTAAGCAAAAATCAAGTATTTGTAAAATATATATCTAATGGAAGCAATAAATATATACATAAATATTTATTCGAATATATTTCTTACGACTCCTATTTAAGTACAGGGTATTCATTAACTACCAGAAGGAAACCAACACCTCCACATTCACTCGCACACACACACATCTATGTGTACTTAGGATAGTTGCTCTCTTGCCTTCAGGGGCGGCGGCAGGTGTGCGAGAGCGAGACAACAGTGCAGTGCCTAAGACAATTGTCAAGTGCTGCCTGCCACGCTGCTTGTTCTGCTTGCTGTTGTTGTTGTTACTGCACTTCCTACTAGGAAATTCTATAGAAAAATGTGCAGACGACGACAAACACCGCACACCGCTTCCCAATGCAGTCGGCAAGTGTCATTTGAGACGCACACACAAACACACACATGCACACATACATAGCGCTGAAGATCTGTGCAGCTGTCGCCGTTCATATATATGTATATGTGGTTGTCTGTGTGTGCGTGAGCATTTTATGCTCTTTTTATTGTATGCAGCAAAATGCATAAAATCAGAGAGCAAACAAATAGCAGCTGTCGCAACAGTAAAACTTAAACTCCACTTCCAGTCGATAGGAGCGAGAGAGATGGGGCAACGTGGCCTGCACCCCATGAACTTTTGTGCTCAATAATCCACTTGCCAAAGTGCCTGGACAATATAAAAAGAGATGAAAATTACATAATGCTGCCAAAACGCCATTTGGCAGCCAGCGGCAAATCAATTTAGCTTGATTAATGCAAAACAGCAGCAATCGCAGCAGCGCCCTCTGGCGTCGAACTGTGCCAAATTACAGCATTCTCTCTCCCATTGGATCATCATCATTATTTATTTATCATATGCTTATTCATATTTATTTGCTGAAAACTGCGGGTGGCTAATTTTTGCGCATTTCCACACTACGAGTGCGTCTGATTTTTCCCAATTCTTTCGCCCACCTATGGTGGCATTCAACAAAAATTTCTTCAATTTTGGTAATGCGGGAAATTTTTTCCCTCTGCTACCTGCCAATAGCGGCCATGTGTGTGTGGTAGGCGTGGGAAATGCAACTTGCCGAAAGAAGGAAGGAAGAAACCAAATTGCAATTGTCGTCGTTGCAAGGACGTGTGAAAATGTGCAAATGACAGGAAACGTGAGCGTGCAGACGCCCCGTAGCTTCCAGCCAGTTCCTGGAATATCGTCCAACTAACTGATAGACTTCCAACATAATTGAGCCATAGCAAATAAGTAATAACCGTAATAGTGTAATACGCACCTTTGTTTTTTGCCTTTGGAAGAGTCTTTCTCGTTTGCACAGTGAACGCGTATTCCAGCAGCTTCCCCGTTGATCGAAGACAACAACGTAGAGGTATAGAAAAAAAACTTTCGACTGACAACACAAGAAATTGTCAAAACTCCATAAACACGGACGAAAACACACTCACTCGCGAATATAACGTATGCAGCATGAAAGAGTGAACCACTTGAGAGCTTTTGGCTATTGCTCTTAAGTCGTGCGAGTGTTTGAAACTCGTGTTTTACTTATTTTTATTTATTTACTTTTCTTTCTACTTTTATTGTTGTGTTGAGTTGCCGATTTTTCACACTTTTGTTACGCTTTTGCCGTTATTCTTTGATGCAACATAATTATTTATTTGCTTTGGGAGTAGCCACACAATTTATTTATTATAAATGCTTTTGGGCTCCCACACACAGAAACACTCACACACGGGCACGCACACACTGAAACATGTACGCAACGCAACGCACCGCGCGCTCTTTCTCTTTCGCTCGACGGCGCTGCAAACACACATAGACAGAATATTCATTCACGATACGTTTACGATACGTATAAATGATCTGCGCGCTCGCTCACACCCATGGGGGCGAGAGCAGTTTCTGCGGCTGCTGTTGTTGTTGTTATGGTTGGATATTGTCTGTTTGTCTGGCGACTGTAGCTGCGGCTGCTGTTGTTGAAGAAAATCCAAGAAAAAAATAATACTAGTATATGAAATGAATGCGACCGTAAAGCAAAGACGCACGAAAGTAATTAACACGAAAAAAATGAGTGTTGTTGTTGTCGTTGTTGTTTAATGCGCTTCTCGCAGTCGAAAATTCTTATTCTATACTTTTAGCTATTAAGCATAAAATTGTATTTAATTTTGTTTCTTTTTCTTGTTGTTGGCTTTATTCAATTTTTCATCGTTTTATGATGTCTTAGACGATGTCTACCTGTGCCAGCGCTGCCGACGCCGTCACTGCTGCTGCTGCTGGTTTACGTTGAACAAGCACAAAAACAACACACACACACACGAAACGTAAAGTGGGCAAAAGCAAGAGCCAAATACGATACGCTGCGGAACGAACGGAACCCGTATATATGCACGCGCTGCTCGCATTTGGAAAGGCACTCGAGATTACACGTCAATTGCACATAACGTGCAGCTCATATGAATTTACAACTTTATTTGTTATTTGATTTTGTTTATTATTATTATTTTTTAGTTCGCTTTTTTCGTTTGCGTGCTGCATTTGATTTCGATTTTTAATTGCTACTGCGGATTTTTTTTCACTGTGCCACAAAACCCACTCGCGTTACGCGTTACGTTATGAACGAAAGACAAGCGTTTAATCTGCTTGACAGCGACAGTCTGAGTACAGTGTGACTGTAAACGGCTAACATGAAAATGGGAGCCGCACATCGCAAAATACCAAAACAAATGTCGTGCGTTAACAGACTCTAGATTGCGTTAACAGACAACATATACAAGTGCTACCCATAAATGAGGATTGTTCAACAGTGTGAGCGGTTTCAATGGTCTGTGGTTTTCTACAAATTGTTTGCTCGATTTATTAATTTAAATATGTGCAAGTATTAAAAGTAAGCAATGGTTTAAATATCCAAAATAATTTTAGTTGACACTAATTTTCTTTCTGTACACAAATGGATTACGTTTTTATTGCTATTAACAGCCTGCAACAGGCTGACGCACTTTAACAGTTCAAATAAACGAAAAGTATTTTTGGTATTATTGTTAACAGGCCGCAACAGGCTGGCATATTTATAGGCAGCACTTTTCATGCGATAACATGTGTTTTCAACACGCACTTTGTTTTGTTTAAATAACAGTAAACAAAGTTGTTGCAATGGGTGTTCGCGGCTTGACCAGTTACATAGCGCAACGTGCCGAGATCTACCTAAAGCCGTACGAGCTGCACAACACCTCTCTCGTCATCGATGGCGACAATCTGGCCTGCAATCTCTACAAAGATGTGACCGGCAGCTATTCGGCCTTTGGCGGGGATTACGACGATTTCTACAGAGCTGTGCTTCAGTTCTTCCATGTCCTCGCCGAGTGTGAGATACGTGCCTATGTCCTCATGGACGGCGGCTACGAGGAGCGCAAATTGCGCACGGTCAGCAAGAGATTGAGGGGAAAGATCTCCGTCATCAAGAAGATAAACCCATGTGATTCCATTACTCTCTTCCCGCTCCACCTGAAGGAGGTGTTCGTGGATGCTGTGCGCGACTGCGGCGTGCCCGTGATGCGTTGTGTCTTCGAGGCGGACGACGAACTAGCCGCTCTCGCTCGCAAGCTCAACTGTCCCGTGCTGTCCTACGATTCTGATTTCTATATCCACAATGTCAAGTATATTCCCCTGATTACGCTGACGGTGAGGGTGCTCACGAAACGGCAGAAGGAGCAGCCGCGCGATCGCAGCCTGCGCCGGCACGAGGTCAAGCACGTGAACAAGCGCACCAAGGCGAACAAAATTCTCTCCGCCATTACAACAACACCAGCAAATGGAACGGCCAAATCGGTTAAATCTATCAAGACTTATAAATACTTGGACTGCTGCATCTATCGCGTGGAGCATTTGTGTGGGCGTGGCACACTCAGCGCCGAGAAGCTGCCCCTCTTCGCAGCGCTGCTGGGCAACGATTATATAGCACGGTTTGTCCCGAACATTATTATATACATAGCTTGGCTGCCTGTAATCATTGCTGATACCGATTTGTCTTCTCCTGCAGCTCTGCATTCAGCAACTTCTTTGCAGTGGGCATGGGGAAGGCGGGGCGCAGCCGCAAGCTGAAGAAGCAACAGCGACGCATTCGCATCATCTTGCAGTGGCTGCGCGACCAAACGGCCGAATCGGCGCTGGAAAAGGTGTTATCCAGGCTGAAGAAGGTGAATTTGGATGATGAGATTTATGTCTATTCTCTCTCTCTCTCCATTTTAAATTTAACTCAAATCCATTCCATAATCTTGCAGACACAGCGCGATTCCTTGGTATCCCAAGTGCAGGCAGCCATTTCAGGCTATTCGAATGAGCTGTGCCACGCCTACGATTTCTTTGAGAGGCACTATGAGAATGCCTTTCCATACATTGAGCCAGCCAGTGAGCCAGAAGATGATGAGGAGGAGGAGCAGGTGGAGGAAAACACTGATTTAACTGAGGAAAGCTCTGAAGAGCTGGAAGAGGAAGGTGAATCACAACAAAAAGAAGACAATGATAATGATGATGACAACGATCAGGAGGAGGAGGAAGAGCAGGGCTTAGACGACACGATAGAAGATAAAACGCTGCTCTTTCCGCAATGGTTCCTCGACAAGCTCTACCCCGCCACGCTCCCGCGCTACTTTGTGGATCTGATGCATCTGCGCAAATACATAAACAATCCGCAAATCGAGCATTTTCCCTACCATGACGCGAATGCCTTGGCGCTGCCCATACTCAACTACACCTTCGCCTTGCTGCACCATGTGGAAGGAGAGGAAACGGAGCGGCAGGTGGATGCCCAGGGGCAGCCTGTGCCGATTGAGTTTACGTATCTGACGCGGGCGCTGCGGGTGACAAACGTTCGCTACTATCGCCAGCCCATTGAGAAAGCACCCGCCCATCCCTTTGTGCCGTCCCAACCGGATGCAGTTCATCTGCGCGCCGTCTTTGAGGCATTCGTGCCGCATGCCAATGTGACGCAGCTGTTCGAGCAGTTGAAGCTGCTGCCCTCGGATTTGCAGCTTTATTTCCTCGCCATTGTCTACTGGCTGCACAGGTCCGAGCACTGCGACATGCTCCACTTGCATGCGCTGCTCATCTGCCTCGTCGTGATGCGCACCGTAGACGTGACCATTCCAGCGGAACGGGATCCCAAGGACTTTCAGCAGCGCTTTGGCAAGATCTTGAAGCAGGAGCGTGCGAAACGTGATTCGGAGGCAGCCGAAGGTGTGAAGCGTGACATCAAGCCCGCCCTGCTCGAGCTGCCTGTGCCGGAGCGCATGGCACATGTGCCCAAGTCCGATTGTTTTCTGGTCCAGGAGAAGCTGCTTCCACACTTTCATATGCAGGAGATCTTCAAGAAGAAATACGATTCGTACTCGACGATCGTGCTGCACTCGTTCGCCGAGTTCCAGTCGGTGATCTATCAGCTGAATGGACTCAATGCGCTGCTTGATCAGCCCCTCAGCAGTCCACGCATGAATCGCCTTTACTGCGGCGCCTTCATCTATAATCTCTACGATTTGCTGCGCAATCGCATCGATGTGCGCTACCATGTGGAGCACTTTCTCCTGGCGGATTCCCGTCTCATGTTCGACTTCTATTGCTATCTGTTTGATTGGTGTATGTCATTCGTGCCCAGCTGGAAGCTGCAGTCGGAAGTGGACCAAGCAGCAGCCAAGGCGGCGGAAAAAAAGCGCCTGAAGAAGCAGCGGCAGGCGGCACGCAAAGCGGCAGCTGCTGCGGATCCAGCGGACCCCAATGAAGAAATGCTACACAAAACGGACAACGATGATGACGAGTTTTTCGATTTAAACAACAAATTCTGTGGATTAAAAGTTTAGGTGTGTTATTTAAGTTCCTCGCCAGATTGAAGCATATTTACCTATATTGGTAAGTTCTGTGTAAATTGTTGTTAACAACATCATCAAATCGATTGTAATATAGCATAACATAGTAATATAATAAAATCAAATCTGATTGTTACATATAAAATAACTGTTGAGCAAATTATCATTACACTTTTTGAATTATGCGCCAACACTTCACTATATAACAAATATTTCGATTAGAGCTATCGAAAAGTAGTGAAAAATATATCGGCTAATTGTTAACAGCACTGTTAAGTGAATGACTTCAAATTTTTCTAGAAATATATTCATTTAATGAAAGAATAAAAGCAACAAGAAGGCTAAAAAAAAGAATTGACTGAATATAAAAACGCTTCAAATTAAACGTTAATTTAATTCAATGTTATCTATGTAATTTGCGAAAATAAATTAATAAAGAATGTCCAACACTGACAGACAAACTAGTGGCTGTCATACCAGCATAACGCCAACGCGTCGACTGCGCAGCTGACGACGCTGCGAGCACAGTTTTGTTATCGTTGTAATCAGAGCACACGAAAAATAAAACAAGCCAAATAAAACAGTTGCTACGAATAGCAGACGAGACAAAAACAATTAAGCGATTAGCTTAACAACTACACTGCCAACAAGTAAAGCAAAATCAATCCGTTTTTTCAGCAGCCCTGGCAACAGCATTAGCCAAAACAAAGACAAAGCTGAGACGAAAAAAACACAACGTCATTTGGTCAGCGACTGCGGCAGTGACAGCGGGCAGAAGCAGCGCGGCGCTCAAGGCGGAAGGACGGAAGGAGTTAATGCTGGTTAGCCTGTACGCACAGCTACAACGCGGC